GTGGACGAGGGGTCGTAAGTTAGTAAGGAATAAAGAAAGGCACTTTGGCTCCCGTGCTTCATTAATTCTCTCCTGTGAGGTACTGTCACAGTTCCCCTTTGAAATAGTGAATTCACTCTGCTTCTGGTTTCTGTAAGAATTCTTTTTTTACGGGAGACTGTTAAAATCAACAAAGAAAAGACAAAAGCGATGAGGATCAATGCAAAGAACCAAGAAAAGGTCATAATCAATGGACAGAATATTGAAAATGTCGATGAGTTCGCGTACTTGGGGGCCAAAGTTTGTACAGAGGGTGGTGGTATAAAAGGACTTGAAAAACAGGTTATCAAAAGCCAGAGGTGCCTTTAACAAACTAAAGAAGGTCTGGATCTCTAATAACATCCTGAAGAAAACAAAACCGAGGCTGTATAAAACTCTAGTAGTGCCAGTGTTACTCTATGGATCTGAGACATGGAAGATGAACAAAGGAGATGATAAAGCAGTGAATGTATTCCATAATAGGTGCCTACGAAGGATCCTCCGAATCCGATGGCAAGACCATGTCAGCACCAAAGAGCTACTGGAAAAGGCAGGCATGAAGCCACTGATTGCGGAAGTGATGTCTCGTAGATGGAAAATGATTGGCCATATTCTTAGGAAAGATCGTAATCATGGTGATTGCAATGTTGCTATGAGCTGGGCGCCAGAAGGTAAAAGGAGAAGGGGAAGACGAAAAACCACTTGGAGACGTACAGCAGAGAAAGAAAGGCAAGAGGCGGGTTGGAGGTCGTGGGAGGAGGCGCGGACAGCAGCAATCAATCGAGAGGAGTGGAAAAGCTCTGTGAAGGCCCTATGTGCCACGAGGCATGAAAAGGATTCATGATGATGAAAGAAAGGCACCGACATAATCATAAATAATAAATTATATTTATTCTCAAGTTAGGCTTGACAGACTTACATGATATATTAAACTATTGTTAATATATTTTCATTTAATCTAATTTACAAGGAATAATCAACTTCTTTATTGTCATTGAGCTTCCAATCAAATTTACCTGCGATATACATTAAACCTTTACAACTTTAAGAGACACACACAACATACCATTATTTCAAAATTTGTTTGCCCGCTGTTTTTTTGTCAAATTAAACATATTCCCATGCTGTTTTCAAAGAAATAATTTAAATAAAATAATTTTCTCTCAATACAGGTAGAAAACAAAATCCTCTGTAAAACATGTTTTTTTTTCTCTTAATTGATTAGATTCTCCGATTAACTCCCAAAAAAAATTGGAGAAAATTAAATGTTGCTTGTCAAAAATAATTTACAAAAACTGTTAAAGAATAGATCAAACGAACAAATAATCTGAGTTAATTTTAAGAAAACCGTTTTTACAACTATAGAACATAATTCAAAACCCAAGATCGCGATAGAGAATTTTGTGAGTGATTTAAAGAGAGCGGTTTTCGATTAAAGTCATCCAGTTTAACTTTGTCTGTACTGTTTGGAGCTGTCACTGAAAAGCGCACTTCCAAAATTCGATAATTCACTTGTCAAACTATCATCAATCGTAACGTGTCACTTCCGCGATTAGGGTTAAATCACGTGCAGATGTTAGACAACTTCTCACTGGCTGGTATTGTTGTCTGTTTTAATTGGCTGTTGAAATTTCTAAGGATTTGGGTTGACTCAACTCAGTCGAAAACCACTGCAGTCAATGATGCCTTTTTTTCACAGATTTTCTATTTTCTCTCAGATCATCGCTAAGAGCTTGAGGAAAAGTTCAACGAACACATTACTGTCCCCTCCACCCCCTCCCCCGTATTTTTTTGTTCTCATGCTTCGCTTTCCCCTCGTGCACTTACTCATTTAAACATTTAAAAAAAGAAAGACGGCTGTGAGCTATAGATGTCTGCATGTCCATGTATCAGTTGTGAACTCGTATCTTTATCTACCAATCTGTTTTATGTACTCGCAACTGTTCGACAGCTGACCTTGAGTGTTAGGGGACGAGCAGAAAAGCTTCCGTGGAGTAAACATGTTCATTTGAATGCATTTCAGATTTTTACAGCTTTTCGCCTTCTTTAGTTCATAGTTCGTTCGCTTTTTATCTGTGTTGTCAATGCCTCCACCAAATTGCGTATGCGTCAGCTTTTGCGTTTCTTGGGTGACTCCGCTGATCAAAGAAATGTACGTTGAATCAGGCTTACGTACGTCAGAAAATTGAGGCAAGCTTTCCTTCCGCGCAACTTTTACAAGGCGTTCAACTGGTGCAACTCCCCGTATTGCCGTCGACGAGTCTTGACGACAAGATACAAATCCTGCTCTTTTTCTATCACCGATGGAGTTTGGTGTAGGCGATTTTCCGGAACTATGAGGGCCTTTTGGTGTGCAAGTCTCCAAGGAATTCATGGTGGAGGTCAATCTGTTGATTTTGTTGAGCCACTCATCTGATAACTTGTTGTCTGTCCAGTTAAATTTCTGTACCTCAGGAACCCTTGTGTTTGTAATCACTGGTTTTTCCAACTCTATGGTTTCATCTTCCTCTATCAGGCGTGGCAGCGGATTTAGACGCTTAACCATTGGGTATGAGTGCGAACGCTGTCGAAAATATCTGTTCTTGGGCCAGGCCACGTTACTGATTTGCTCTACGTACGACCTAGACAAGCTTGGGAAACAAGTGGAGTTAGGTGTGGCCTTCACAACGTATTCCTGTCGGCGAAATGTTAACACTTTCTTTGCCAGTGTATCGTGTTTAGAGCGATGCTTTTCGTTTAGAACGTTATCTTTATCGATCTCACAGAAGAATATTTCCATATCTGTGGGTTAAAACAAAATTCAACGAGTCACGTTTGAGCAATACGCAAAATTTTCTAGTTGTCTGATTCACTTCGGAGAGGTCATGTGGCCTCGGGTGAGAAAATGAGAAGAAAGGTATAATGTTAAACGTAAAGGAAATAATATGGATAAAGAATAACGCGCTTGTGAGCGGCAAGAAGCTGTGTTTACGATGTTGCCCTCAGGATTTGATGAGGTCAAAAAACTTGAAATTTTTATCTCGCTAATTGAATTGCTTATATTGAATTCAAAGCTCGTGCACGGTAGCATGTTAAGTTTCCCTAGAACACTCCTCGCCCAATTAAACGTACCGGCATCACAAATAATTGAACTAAAATATCGGGACCTTCCTGAAAATGTTTTGATTGTACAAATTTTGATTTACAGCTCCTATTTCTAGCTGTTTTGATGACACAACGTCAATAATTGACACCAATTGTACTCCTAAACAAAACTATAGGCTTTGTGTCTTTACGGCTTTTGAAGTTCACTGCGTGAAAAGTCTGAAAAACGTATGACAATGCAAGAAAAAGATGACCGCAGATGCTTGACCTTCGTTTATTGAGAAACACGAAAGTCTAAATATCCTAAGAAACAATTTCCGTTCCTCTCTACTCTTCGGCGCTTGTTTTGAGAATTTGCCAATAGATCAAGACAAATGTTTAGATAACTTTACGGTAGCAAGAGTCACTCTGAATTTATTGCATAACCGCATGATGTCGTCGCATGATTTCTACAGCGCTTTTGATTTGACCAGTAAATCAGCAAGTACATACAGTGCTGCACACGAAAGTTTAGTTTAGTTTGACTCTATTCCAGAAGCGTTTCGCGTTAAAGAAATACTAAAGCCCACCTCTGTGCTCTTTGTATGTGTATACCTGAGTGGTAACGTAATTGCGGTGTCGGTAAATTCAATTTGTCCCTTGTCACCACGCCCGTGATATTAAGTGGTCCGAGCGAAACAGGTTGCGAGAACAAATCAGTTTTGGTTCAAAGAAATGCATGGCATCAGGCCAAATTTGATAGTTTTAAACAAGCGCTCCTTTGGTTTGTCTCGAGATTAATACTTAATCGTAGCCTTCCTTCATCCTCTAAGCAAAGGTCAGCAATTCGATAGACCTCTTTCGATGCTCTCACCTCAAGGGAGGAACAAATCTGCTTATTTTTCATTGATCCCTCAATTGCGTGAGTGGACACAACTCAAAGCGATACCGCAGCCAAAGTAAACATTGAATGTCGTGACAACGAAAATACACTTAAAAAACAAATCTCCTAACGACAAATGTACTTTTGAGCTTATCTGATCCGTATACTTACCTCATCACATTCGTAACTAAAATCACTGTGTTCCATCTAACGAGTTTTTCAAGTTATCTTAATAAGAGATGACATAGATATAACATAATGGTTAGATTCTGACTATTTTCTTCAAGGTCTATTGGAGTGTTATCGTTTCGCCAATCAATCAATCAATCAGTCAATTCATTCATGGATTACCGGATAAGGTGACAGATCACGCAAAGAAATTGCAGGAATTGTCGAGGTAGCTTCCTCAAACAGACTGCTGTTTGAAACTATTTTATTGATTGAGGCAACGAATTGAATTACGCGCACGAATACTATGTATTATGTTTTCCCGTGCAGCTCAGCATCAGTAGGAAGTTATGCCACAGGAGTGCTAACAATGCTAGGCTAAAGTATAAACAAACGAGCGAATGGAACTGGAAATTATAACTTGTTTAGTCAGAGTTGACGGGGAAGATAAATATAGACAAAACTGTATCGGGACTGTCATAAGTATGACATTTGCAGAATAATAGCGGAGTGTATTTGCATTTCATAACAACTGCAAATTTTGCATATTGTGTTGATGTTTTTCCTACATGTTTTGAGCCTAAAAAGTGCGGAAGTCGATCGAGGTTTATATCATTAATGGGGATTAAAAGGAACACGTTTGAATGTTGTTTTCAAGGTTGCAATAAACCATCTTGAAACGAACGATAGGTAGCGTTAACTCTGTAACTCTGTCACCTTTTTTTACAACCTGCACAAATGTTTCAGTACGTCGGCAGTTAGAAAACATCAACGCTTAATGAAAATTGTAACTCTTGTTCCAATTGGCTTTTTCTGAAACGCTGCAAATTGACAAAATACTGAATTTTTTTATCAGTTATGTTCTGTGAAATATTTTCCTAAGGTCACTGATAGAATTGTCCAAAACGTGATATAAATGAAAGCTTTAACCTTCAAAACGTGAGTTGCGCCAGTTCATGTTTACAATTCCCCTCGTGATCTGTTCGCACCTTCGCATAAATCTACGCACTGTGACGGCAAATGAAGGACGTATTTTCTCGTTTACTTGGCTAAAATTCGTTTCCCATCAAGAACAAAGTATGATAAAGAATATTGTGAAACAAAAGCATATTTTTGTCATTCTTAGCCGGCTACCGGCAACATGAATATTTTGTGTACAAAAAGAAATTTATTGTTCAAACCATCCTGGTCTAAAGAGTAATTAAGTCTGTAAAAGGGAAACAATGTTTTTTACCTGAAAGGATTCTTTTCACGCGCACATCAACTGCTTTCATCCATTGATGTCGTGACTTCGTCGCTGACTGCAGCTCAACTGAGGGAAAACTGCGGGGGTGATGTATCTTTGGTAGACTTTGTATGTCACGACACCCACAGCACACGTGCTGTGGCCCTTAATGGCTAGTTCCGGTCAGATTTCTCTGCCGAAAAGTAGAGACTTCTCCGCAACGCCTGCTCCACGCAAAAATCCAAAAATTTTGAATTTACCTCACTTCAACAGCGGCGTGTCTAATTTTTACTTTTGTTTGTCGCGACAACCGCTCGCTTTATATTTAATCTACATACTTGGCACCGGAAATTCTTCCTTGAGTGGGCTATACATTTAAATGAGCAGATATTTTGGTTTTGTTTGTTTTCAAGGCTTCCCGTCTTTCATTCAGGCACGTTTGAAGTATCCCGGTCCGTGAAATGGACTAATTTTCCATTATTGTTCAGTAATGTGTTCCTTTTCAAAAGGAGGTGGCAAAATACGTTATGAAAAGATGAAAACGTCCTTATGATGCGGTAAATGCACATATTTTTTCTTGGCGTATGTCATCGTACAAAAATATCGTATGGTAATGTTCGCCCACGGCTGGATGAACTCTTCGATAAACTGAAATTTTATTTAGAATTCTTGTTAATTTTGAAAACCCTGCAAGACAGCGGGGTACGACATAAGATCACGTAGTTGCAAATAAGAAGAAACCTGCAGGTGGACTTAAAAGATACAAACCCCCAAAAAAAATTTTAAAAAATTATATTTAATGCAAGTCTTTAAGAAAAATCAGTCCGGCTTATGGCCATAAAACTGAAAATTGCGTAAAATGAGAAATCGGATTTTCTAGAATATATCGCACGGCTATGTAGCATACGGCGCTGAAAAATTCTATCCATCGAAGGTAAAAAATCGAACATGATAAAATGCAAATAGACGATCTTTTATTTTTAGCCAGTCCATGCAACCGTTTTGAAGCTTATTTCAATTCTACTTTTTCGGAACTTCTTTAGCAAACACATTAAATACTTAGTCCTTACAAAATCCCACAGGGATATTGGTGGAATAAATAAAAGTAATGATTTGTATTTTAATACACTAACCTCAAGCTATCAAACCACTAGAGGACAAAAAATCTAGCCACAATTACTCCACGAGACAACATTTCGTTTTGGGAACTTTCGCCAAACGATGAAGTGATATATAAACCAGGGCAACGTTCTTTCAGGTCAAAGTCTGTCGACAAGAAATTACTTAGTTCTTCTGATCACGATTATCTGTCCAAAATACATGTTTTATTCTGTCTAAAAATAAAACAAAATTATGAGGGTGTTGACACGACTTCAAAAGCTAACGAAAGCAGAACGAAAGCTTCACAAATTTATTTTTTGTCAGAGATTCAACACAACTTTAAGACGCAGTAATTTTGGGTTCAGAAATAAAATCAGCGGGTCGAATTTCACGCGCACGTAGACTTTAAAGGAGAAGAGCTCTATGGGTTAATACTTTGGTAATTCTAGACTTTTCGCCTTTTTATCTTTTAATGTTCTAAGAGGATAAAGATTTTTAATATGCTGAATCATGTCTAGTCTCAAGAGGACAAAAAACCTCTTCTGTGTATTTTTTTTTTTCCTTTGGTCCGTTTGTCTGAGGTGGATTTTAATGCAATACTGAAAAGGACCATATGCATATCGGTAACGAGTATTGGTTTAGTCACACATGTAATTTATAATTTAATGCACTAAAGGAAGCAAAATGCCATTATTTCAAGAGGAATCTCTCCATTTCTTATCGCTGCCGTTGCGATCTCATTCTGTTTAAATGGAGTGTTTTCGCACCTTTTGTGGTTTGGTTGTTTTTTGTTTACGAAGAAAAAAAAAAAAAACCATCGTTTCACGCGTTACTCCACATATTGCTCATTTCCAAACTTTGACAAATGGATTCTGTAAACATCACGTACAATATTTTGTGTGTCGTAGCCGAGAGAGAAAACTGAAGTTAAAAGCAAGTTCATTAAACCATTAATGAGATTCTTTCCATAAGAATAACGTAAAGTAACATCTTAAAAGCTAAATTAACTATTAATGCAAAAACTAACTCTAAATTAGTTGAAAAGACACTTCTTCACACACTTCTTCAAAAACACCTGGGACTAAATGAACATGACGATACTCATGTCCGGCAACCTCATACTTCTCGTGACGTACGTCAGTGAGACTAAAAACGACGGAAAGAAGAAGTTAACTTTGTTGTCGTGGAAAGGAAAATACGTGGGTTTCAAACTATTTCGTGTCAATTTTAAGAGACAGTTGGAGTGAAAGTAAATAAATTGCATTTTACTTTTTCCGTCATTGATCACGATTCTCGCAAAGAATAAAATCGTTTCGCACTTTCCTTTATGTGGGAGGTAATTAATTTTCGTGCAGTAACGCTCTCATGGCTCTTACGTTTAATTGATTCTGTTTACTAGGGATGACTAGCTTTTTCGTCTTTTGCGTGTTTTCACTCCGTTTAATCTGGTAATTTTGGGAGTGTGTAATGGCTGCTTCGCCTCTCAGACATGTTTATGGCTAATGAATGTATGAAATAGGAGGAGTTTTGTCAAATCATCATTTGTTTGGTTTGCGCAACTTTTTGGTCGCTAATTTGGCCGTTGTCATGTGTACAAAAAATTCCATGGAAGGTCAAAATAAGGATGGATAGATCAAGTAAGAACCATGTTTTAGTGAGGTCAGCAGAGAGCTTGCATTGTTGGCCGAAACTTTGGGCATGTAGTTTGCCAGCGATGGAAGAAACCGAACTACTCGACAATTTATATATTTAATCAGAATTTTAAAAAAGGGTTTGAATTCAAGCGTTCATCGATTTATCATTGTTTATCAGTCATCTTAGGCTACAGAATACATCTCTTTGATTTGTAACATCAAAGGAATTTTAACGAAGTTTCATCGATCGTCATAATGCCGGCATCATGCCCAACATTATGCCGGCATCATGCCCAACATTATGCCGGCATCATGCCCAACATTATGCCGGCATAATATATCTGACTCTTGGCGTGATAGCATTTTAGTGCTGTCACTTACAAAAAGTAACGATTTTTATTTTACAGGGTCCCACAGAATACCACTCTCCAGTGATGTGAGCCGCCTGTATAAAGACTGTCATTACTATTATTATTATGTCGCAGAGAAATAAACTAAATGCTACGTTCTAATCAGGCAGCACAGGGCGAAAACCGTAACCTGTGAGCCATGGAGTAAAAAATAAATGTACATTAACTAATCCTATAAAGCTTTTCCGTTGTGTCTACGGTCCTCCTTCTAACAGGAACTCAAACTGCCACCTTGAAAGTCCGGGCAATATTCAGCGTGCCCGAGAGCACTGCCCTCTGCATCTTTCGCAGTACGTCTGTGCTTCTGCCTCCCACCAGCTCGCGCATCATGACATCCAGCTCCCGTGACCACCCCCCGAGGGCATCCATAATGATGTTATATTACTTCACCTTATTGTTATTATTATTAAAATGATAACAAAGTAAATAACAAAGTGATGTTGGTTCAAGATGTAGAAACTCACCAAATGTTCGCAAGACTAAGCTGAGCTTGTTAACCTTTGTGGGTAACCCCGATGGTTGATTAAGCTTTCACGGTATGCTTATACGTGACTCGTCATCTTAATCTAGTCAAGTGATGTTATCGTGCCGATGGCATATGGTTTACGTGGCAGTTTCTCTTTCGCATGACAAAAAAATTAGAGAAACGCCGCGGCTCAGTGTAAAAATTTTGATATAGAAAAAGTCAGTCGAAAAACCGATTAAAAAAAATTGTACGATCGAGTAACTGAAGCTCCATTAACCAGTAGTGTTTACAATTACTGCCACCTCCCACCCTTCCCTGATTTATAACACTCTGCCTCCCACTCCTCCCTCAGTACTTATAAACCACACCCACCCCTCCCTGAGTACTAATGATGTACTTCCCCCCCCTTATAAAGTGGTCCAAAAAATGGTCCCAAAAAATGGTCCCAAAAATGCTCCAAAAAAAAAATAGTCTAATCCAGTCTATATTTTACCCTTTGCCCTTACGGATAGTGAGTCGAATTATTTGATCGAGTGTCTCATAACAATTCAAGATTGTATCTGTGACAAGTCTCCTTTCGCGCTTCACCGACAAATTCGCCGCTGCAATTTTCCCTTTCGTAAACGGCCGTTGCCATTTGAAACGGTCGTTTGCGATTTTGAAACGGTCGTTGCCATTTGCAATAACACTCGTTGCCATTCATTACAAAATGGCAACGACTGTTTCGACAAATGGCAACGACCGTTTCAAATGGCAACGGCCATTTACGAAAGGGAAAATTGCTTCGCCGCTTGAGCGTCAAGCACCAATAATACGCTCTACATGGCTTCACAAGTAATCAGACACAAATTAACTTTATATATAAGGAAATAATGTTGAGGTGAGCGGCAGAACCAGTAGTCCATGACATGATCGTTAAGAGGAAAACAGAGTCAAATTTTTGCATGCAATTTGGTTAGTCCTGATTTATCCCAAATTGTAAGGGACAGTGAGTTACTCTTGCCGATGAGAGTCATTTATAACAATTACATC